AAGGCACAGGCAAACTGGCCAGTACCTGGAGCTGGGTGATGTTGCTCCACAGGTCCCATTCAGACCATGGGCTGTATCTATGACATCCCTGCCTTAGGGAAACACAATCACCTTTGGCCTAGCTCTAGTCATGCAGGAGTTGTACCTCCACTTATTACACAGCAAGTAATGCAATAAACATTATATATGACAGTCTCTCTTTGCATCTATTCTGTTGTATATCCTATGCTGCTCCATTTAGTGATTTATAGTTTTACTTTGTACCCAGGTTAAGAAAGCTGGTGCAGAGAGAGAATGTCAACTGAACATGTGCTTTCTCTGGGTATATAATGTAGTGCACCCTTCAAAAGAACCTTTTTTAGGGAAGGTGTCTTTAGAAGGTTGCACAGAAAAAAAATTAAAGGTGGTCTTTTTCTTATTCTCCCCACAAGCCTAGGGCAGTTAAAAATCTTTCCTAGTGACTGCAGTGGTGTATTTCCCTTCTCTCAATGTATTTAATTCTGTTCTTGAAACTTTCTCCAGTTGCCTTTATGAGTAGCTCAAGGCTACTATGTTCAATGTAATGTTTTATTTTCCTTTTACAACACACAGGGTGAAGATATTGAAAATTCAATAACTTAAAACAAAACTTTCTGATTTTAAATCAAGACCATCCAAGAGGAACTCCCCTAGCGCACTGAAACTTAATGAAAGGTTTCAGGTCCTCTAAATATGGAATTATTTTTTTCCATAATCACTAACTGTTCTTCAAGGGGGCAAAATGTCTAACCAAGAAAGCCGTGCAATAATGATAGGTGCTAAAAATATTTAATGATGTTTGTTTAAGGAAAACCTGCATGATATATACAGCATTGTCACTGGACAAAAGCATACAAAACTCATAAAACTGCTGTTAAACATTCCAAATTATGCACACATATATGTATATGCATATATACATATGCACACTGTATACACACACACACACCCATTATATATATGCACACACACATTATATATAAAATATGTATATGTACATCACGGGTTGGGTAGAATTAACACTAATTGAAGCAAAATAAAAACTGACAGTGCATTACCAGCTTTATGAAACTCAATTTTTTGAAGCTATCCAAATTCTCTCATACTTAAATATATGTAGTAGTCTCTTGGGGTGCCTACACACGAGCACGGAGGCTGCTCCGACGTGCTGAAATTCCAGCGTGTCAGACCAGACTCGAATAACTGAGTCTGCTGGAGTGTGGAAATTGCCGCTCGCCAGCAGCCTCCTGTGTCTCGTATCAGCGTCCCCACGCTTCAAAATAACGCTGGGGGTGCTTTAACTAAAGTTTGTTGAACAAGCTTTAGTTTGAGCACTTCTGCCGCCATTTTTAAGAGCGGGACACTGATACAGGAGATGTGGTGGTGCTTTAATTAGAGTGGCTCTCCAAGCATGTGTAAAAGTGCCCTTGCTGATTCTTCCATTGATTTTCTTCCTTCCACATTCAATTACTTCATGAAACCCAGGGAAGAAGATTCTCTTCTGAACAGGGGGTGCATAAATGCCAAGTATTCTCAAAAGGCTGCCTTCACTGTCTGCCCCTCCCGTACACCCAATGTGCTTTGGTGGCCAGAACAAAATGAATGCTTTTGCTCCTGGGATCTAGATAAAAAGATGACACGCTGAAGAGCCCAAACACTTAGCCTTATTTTTGACCTTGTAATTCTTATGTGTAGGAGATTGATAAAATGCCCAAATAGCATGGCCAGATGATTATTGTTTTTATGCTACCATTGGTGTATAACAAGTTTACAGAGATCAGATAGGATGAAAAAGTCACTGATGTGTAAAACCAGATGCTGACGGTCTGAGAATTTTTTTGCTGGAAATAACCAGAGATTTGAGATAATGATTTTTTCCTGATTTTTTGTTTTAAGAAACAAAACCAAAACTAAGCTATTTAAGAAAAGCTAATTTCAAATGCCATTTAGCAAGTAAACATTGTCAGTCGCGTCAGCACTAGAACTGAATCCACATATACTCAGGTGATCAGAAGATTACACGCTTTTATTGTCATTTTCGTAAAATTGTTCTGATAGTTGCAACATGCACGCACATCCCCTCCCCAAAAACAGATTACAATTGTCCTCACACATTTGGCTATCCCTTTTTTCACTGAAATCATGATTCTGATGAGAGGCTGTCAGTCTGGCTTTCATGCATGTATGAAAACTACAATGGTTTGAAAACTATTTACAGGAGTTTCATTGACCAGCATTTTCCTCCTAACTTTCACACAACACTATCTAAAAGCAGGATAATGCTGGCAGGTTTCAAAGGCAGGGGGAGAGCCCCTTCCTGTACTCTCAGAAGAAAGACTCACTCCTTTATTTTCGTGAGGGGAACTGTATTTATCTTTTTTCTCTGCAAAGGGCCTGCAGGCTGATTGTGCTATATCACTATTCAAAAGCACTATTTCTCGTAGTCTAAGCCAGGATTGCTCAACCTGTGGCCTGCGGGCTAGATGCAGCCCAAGAAGCTGGTGTGAACAGCCCACCGGCATGTCAGTGCAGGTGATTGCACCTCCTTTCCCCCACTGAATTCAGCGACCGAGGAAAGGAGGATATGAGCAGCAGTGGCATTCACCCACACTTCCATGCCAATGAGTTCAGTTTTCATGAAGCTCCAGAGTGCAGGAGCTGAGCACAGCTGCTATCTACCTCCCTCCCTCCACTGAATTCATCGACAGGGAAAAAAAAGGCCCCGAGCAGTGGCAGGTCTCGCCTCCTGGGCTCCAGAGCTGCACAGAAGCTGTGGCTCTAGCCAGAGCCCATGCTGACATGCCGATGAGTTCAGGCAGTTCCAGAGCCCTGGAGCTGAGTGCTGCTGCCGGGACTGTTCACCTCCTCTTTTCCCTACTGCTGAGTTGGGGGTAGAGGATGGTTCGGGGGGAGGAGGGGGTAGGAAGAGGGGAGACAAAAGGCAGCAGTGCTCAGCTCCTGGGCCCCAGGGCCCTGTGAAAACTTTGGCAGCTGGAAGGGGAAAGGTGGTGGAGACCCACACTTAGATGCCCCATGCATGCCCATGAAGCATGGGCACAGCACAGGGCTGGCTACAGAACCTGAGAACAGCAGAAAGTTATTTCAAAGAAAGCTCCACTTCTCTGGGGCAGAGCCTGCCCCCCATAGCCCAGGGCTCTCCTTTCAGAAGACACGGGTAGGACACTAGGAAGCACAGGGACCTGAAGTAAGCCGTCAGCTGGACAATATCCATCTGTCCTCCCCTCCCATCCCACAGGTCCAAAACCCCACAATCTCCCATCAACACTAAGAGCCTGGAAACCAGA